GAAGAAATTTGTTGCTCCCCTCCTTAATATGCTAACAGCTGGAAGGTGGAGCTTGCTAGGGCTGTGTGTAAAGTGATGCTCTGGGGACCATTTGCAAGCCAAGCCCCAGCCCTCCTGCAGGGCTTGCTTCCTGTGTGCAAGTGTAAGACATTTGGAAAGAGCATAGATTTGGGGTCTGATGTCATTTTAATTCTCAGCCCCATATAAATTATGTGACCTCCAACAAGTACCTCGACCTCTCTGGGCAGCATGTTCTTCATCTGAAAATTTGTTATAGTATATGGTGAAAGTATTGCTGTGAGTTCCATAAACTTGCATTTTTCTCCAGGAAGATTCCATTTCCCGGCCCTGCTGACCAGTTCTGACCGTCAGAAAATGGGCGGCAGTGACATGTGCCACCTCCAGGCCTTGTTCCCTGATCTTCTGCATAGTCATTGGCTGGCTGCAGCAGAAGATACAGGGTAGGACTCGAGGGCCAAGAGGGTGGCAGAGCCACCGCAGAGAACAACCCTGGATCCCCGAGTGTTCTCAGAGAACCGTCCAAAAGCGTGAGGACCAGAACGAGCCAGCAATAAACTGTACCGGGTTAAGCCCCTGAGATGCCAGGAGTTGCTACCACAGCATCGCCTAGCACTTCCTGACTAGTGCATAATGCAAGAACTCGACCTTCTGATGTGGAGATCGAATAATAATAACAAGGATAATGATAATACTATTCTAAGAAATTTACGTATTTTAACTCATTGGTACAACAGCCCTTTGAAGAGGAGACTATTATCCCCGAGTTACGTATGAGGAAATGGAGAAGTTAAGAAACTTGCCCAGACTCATACAAATTCGTGGCAGTTGAGTCAGTGTTTTCCCAGGCAAGCTGTGTCCAAAGCCCTCTCTCTTAACCATCATAGCAGAGCACCGCTCGCGCTCTCTCTGAATGACTGCCCTCCGGCATCTAGTGGATGCGGGCTTATTAGTTTTGGGCAATCTGGGAAGCAGAGTTGAGTGATAACTGATGTGTTGAGCAATTTTTTAAAAACCTTGAATCTATAATAGCACACCAGATCTTTTTTGCAAGTGAGTTCTTTCAAACTTTCAAGAACGTATAATTCCCATGCTAACTGATGCATGTATAGCACATGCTGTGTACCAGTATGAACAGTTGTGTGGTCGGTGTGTGTGAATGCATGTGTGTGCATGTGATGGGCATGTGTGTGCAAGATGCACTTGTGTGTCTAGTGGGTAGGGATGTAGGGGATGTTTATGTGTATGTGGTGTGTGTATATGTATGTGGTGCCCTTGTATGTATGAGTGTGGTATGCTTGTTTACATGTGTGTAGTATATCATTGCATAGTATGTATGTGCACGTGGCATGCATGTGGTATGTGGTGGAGTGTGTCCATGTGCTATGCATGTGCATGTGTATATGTTTGTGTGGTGTGGGTGTGTGTAAAATACCCATGTGTGGGTTTGATGTGTGTGGGTGTATGTGTTTGTGTGGTATATGTGTGCATGCATCTGTATGTGTTTTGGTGCTGTGCTTATGTGTGTGCTATCACACATGCATACCAGCTACACATATGCACACCACACACCATACATATATACATATATCCTGGATTTGCCAAACACGCCATGCAGACATGCATACCACGTGCACAGAAATGCATATTACCACACACATATGCACAAATATTAATACATGCATGCTGCATACAAACGGGAAAGCGTGGCACACTGGAGCACGTGTCAGTTTTAACCCCACCCTAGTCATCGGTCAGGGCATGGCCCAGATGTCACCAGGGAAGCCTCCTCCCGTCCTCTCCTGCATTTCCCGACTCTCCCTTCTTGCAATGGTCACATGGTATTTTTAATTTTATACTTTTATGGTTTATAATGTCAAGTTACTAATATTTAATTAATTATAAAATTACCTTTTCCTTCTCTGCCTTCCCAACTGGACCTTAAGTGTTGGGGGCCTGGGTCTGTGTCTGATTCCATGTGCTCAGCCCAGGGCCTGGCAAACAGTAACGGCCCAGTTGTTTGTATTCTTGCTGAATGAACAAATTGAATTTTAGCATCATGAATTTTAGCATTCATCTGCAAATTAATAAAAAAATTAACCCATGTCATGTTGCCCACATTGCAGTCTAGTAAGGAAATTCATGTCTCTCTCCAGGGAGGAATTATTGCTGGGCCATCTGGGACCCACCATGCCTTCCTCCTGGGGCAGGAGTCTCGGCCTGGGCTCAGGCGGTGCTGCCTGCCAGGTCGCCGATGTGTGTGTAGACAGAGGTGTTGGATGAAGGAGTCTGAAGCAGGTCCAAGCACTGGGAAGGGTGAGTGTGCTGGTCCCTGGGGCAGCTCCCTGGATAGTGGGGACAGGCTGCAGGCAGAGGAGGCAAAGGCTTTCCCAGTGTCAGGGCCACTGCGCTAGGGTCCAGCAATGACATGTGGCCCCGAGATGTGGCAGGCCCAGACCACAGCCTGGCCCTGGCGGATGGCGGATGCCGCCGCTGCAGGAGTGCCTGGCCCACAACAAAGCTGTGGGATCCAGGGCTGGCAGCTTCAGGGACGGGGACGCAGGGACCACAGCGGGGGAGGGAGCATCCGGGGCAGGGACCTCGGGGCTGCTACAGTGGGTGTGGCACTGGGCTCTCAGCGGCTCCATGGCTTGTGGCCGCCATCACTGCAGGATGGAACAGAAAGAATGTAGCACACGTTGCTTCCCAGGAAAGAGGGTGCCCCTTGGGTGGGGCTTGGGTTGTGTTCCAACACGGAAAGTCTTGCATTTGCACATTTGCAGGTAAAGGCAGAGCCAGTGAAATGTGGGACATCACTGATGTGGCCCCACTAAACTCAGCTGGTATCAAAGGTCCCTTTCCACAGAAACATACAGAGCCTTAGATGGAGATTCTTGTTCAAGTGGTTTGCTGAGTGGGTGTGCTCAGAAGGGGAGTAAAGTCCTCAGAGCAGGGAAGGGTCATGTTGCAGCCAGGGCCATTCCAGCCTGATCCCACGGGCGCTCCGAGTGCGGATGATGCCACAGAGCTGGCTTCTCCACGATTTGGTAATTAGTTGCAGGCCGCTCTGGGGGCACAACCTTCCGATCGGTCTGGGATAGGGCAGCTGTAAACTACAGCAGCTGACGCTCAGGGGCTGGGGTGGGCTCTGGCCAGCAGAGGGGACCTGGGTGGGACGCAAATAGCACCTGCTGCAGTCGGTGCTACGGACCGAATGCCTGCGTCCTCCCCAAATTCGTATGTTGACCTCTTAACCCCTGATACGATGGTACTTGGAGGTGGGGCCTTTGGGAGATGATTAGGTCCCGAGGGTAGACCCCTTCTGATCGGGGTTCTGCTAAGAGCTCCCTGCGTCCTCCTGCTCCGTGAGGACACGGCGAGAAGATGGACGTCCATGAACCAGGAAGCAGGCCCTCACCAGACACCAGATCTGCTGGAGCTTTGACCTTGGACTTCCTGGCCTCTAGAACTACGAGTAATAAATTTCTATTGTCATAAGCCACTCGGGCAACCTGCAGCCTTAAGGCCATAAATGGCCTTCTAGGTCCTTAAGTGCGGCCTTTTGATTGAATCCAAATTCTACAGAACAAATCCTTTATTAAAAGCGATGTAGTAGAGAAATATGAGGCTTTCGTACTTCCTTTGGCGCTTAAAAGAGAACAATCTTGAAATCAGAAGGCTGCAGGTTCCCCACCCGGATGGCATTCTGTTACGGCAGCCCAAACGGACTGAGTCGACCCATGTTTACTCCATGGCCCCAAAAGCAACCTTTTGGCTGGGTCCACTGAACTGTTGGCTCTGTGCCCACCCTCTGGGGCCACAGGACACACCCACACAACAGTCCCTGATGTCCACAGCAGGGTACTGAGATTCCAACCGGGATCTCTGAGTGGCCCGTGCAGCCGAGAGGCGCGCCTTGCGGTGCAGACACTTCCCAAGGACTCCTGAGCTCCTGGCACAGCCCTGGGGGTGGCAGCAGACCTGCCCCAGAGGCACGGATCGGATGGCCCCACACGCGTGTTATCGTGGCTATCTGCGTGGATCCCAGTGCCGCTGTTTTCTTAAATATAAAAGCAAGAGTCAAATATCAAACTGCCTAAGCCATCACCGTGTCACTGCCAAGCTCCACACAGGAACGGAAACCGAAACCACATGAAATATTTACGCTCTACATCGCGGTGCTGTACTAACGTGAGGCTGGTTGTTTTTGTTTGTTTGGGATTTCTTTATTCTTTTTCCAAAGTGGATTACAAAATGCCCTCCAGTGAGGAAACTGCTCACAGAGAAATCACACCCCACTCCCGGAGGGGTTGCCCACGAGTGGAGAACAAGAGGCCCCGAGAGCCGTCGTGAACGTGGGGGCTCCTCTGTCAGGGTCACGGGCCTGGCTGGGAACAGGGGCACCTGCCCGCAGCTCAAAGCAGCCGTGTCACCAGCAGGTGCAACAGCTTGCAGCCTCCCACCGACCCCTTCACACCAGCAATCGTTACTTTCCAGATGTAAAATAGTCACATTACTATTACCACTTTTTTTTAAGTACCACCACCTGACATCTGTTGGGGAACCTGGTTTAGAGAGTCCCCTGTCTAGGACACTGCCTACACTCAGGCTTGAAGAAGCCTCCTGTCCCCCTCCCAGGGCTCCCTCATCTCCACCAGCCTGCAAGACCCCATCCTCGAGGGGCTTGGTGGGAGGTCGCCACGGTCACCTGCTGATGCCCGATCTGGTGTGGTGGCTCTCTGCCCAACATCACCAGAGCCCCATGGGTCTGCACCATTTTTATCTCACTTCTTTACATGGCAAGACTGAGGTCAGCGTGGCCCTGTCACCCACACGCAGACCCATGTGGGCTGGTGAATGGCAAGGGAGACTGTTCCCCAGGTCTGCCTGCTACGAGGGGCTCTGTCCTGGCCAAGCCACCACCAAATGCCACTTCAGGAGGCCCAGCCCTGGCTCACAAAGCACGAGAAGACACAGACTTGTTTTCAACTTTTCAGAGGTTTTATTATAAAGAGAGTCGAGAGAAGCACTGGGCACCGAGACACACATTCGCCAGGGCCAGGAAACAGCTGCAAACAACGTCAAGAACCAAAACCAAAACCAAACCCCAAAACCACACGCACGTTATGATAAGCTGCAACTTTGTTCTCAAGGTTTCTTCATAAATAGACAAAGGTCGTCGCTGGCAATTTTAAATAGATGGACATATGGTTAAAGGAAAAGAGCGATCCTCCAAGGGTGGCTGTCACTGTCCGGTTCTGGCTATGCAGACAACGAAACGGTTTGGCGGCCGCTTTTGTGCATGTCTCCCTTAAGATAAAACTTAAAAAAAAATGTGCTAAGGGTCATATAAAATGCTTTTTTACCTTAAAGGAAACTACTTTTTCCCCCACAAAATAATCTTACAGATGTCTTCAGCACAGTTCTAAAACACTTAGCCGACTACTTACACGGAGCCGACAGTTTATAGGTTTCATACTCTTGTTCACACTGGAAAACCGTTATGTGCACGTCCATGGCGGGCCGGCCCCCTGGCCCATGCGTCTGGGGCAGGTGTCTGTTGGTAAGAGACCCTGCCAGGGGCAGCCCACGTGGGCTGGGGCTGGGGCCAGGCATCCGGATGTAGGTACCGTGTGCGGGGCGAGGAGCGGGGTCCACAGCTACCCTGGAGCAAGCAGGTCAGCGGGCAGAAGGTTCCTGCAGGTTCTTTGGGCTGGCGGCGGGCGGTGGGCCGCCTCTGCAGAGTCTGGTGGGAGGTCGAGGGAGAGACTCAGCCCTGGGGCATTGGTGTGTCACTGCTCTCTCGGATCTGTCACCCTGCCTCCTGCCAAGGCCTCTTTTCTGCTGTCAGCCCTTCAGGCCCGGAGCAGCGCCCTTCCAGTGAGCCTCAGGGAGGGGGGGAGGCGGGCTTAGGTGAGGTAGAGTGGTTTGTCCCTGGGGAGCAGGCTGTGGGAGAGAGGAGGGGCCGTCAGGGCTGCTGAGCCCACCCCGGCCTGGGGAGCACCAGGACCGCTGCACTCCGGCCCGTCACTCCGCCTGATCCAGCAGCCCCTCTGCGGAGGAACACACGGCCACGCCCCCCTGGACCACCCACCACGCAGAGACAAGCCCCTCCTGGAATCCCGGCAGGGACCACCGGGTCCTCAGCTCTGGGAGGAAGGGCAGCAGCGTGCCTGTCCTGCATGGAAGCCCATGCCAACGTCACCATGGCTCTCACGTCGGTTTTTAATTGCAGGATTTTCATTTGTGAATTTCAAACTGGATTAAGGGAGGACAGGTGATTTTTATGTTTTTAAAATAGGCCACTGCTGTGGTCTGACCTCCACGCTGGGTGCGAAGGGCCAGCCTCAGGGAGCTCTGACATTCTGTGATGTCCACTAAAGACATTGCCTCGGCTTCCCACGGTGAGGGGGAAGGGCTGGGGTAGGAGGGTCTGTACCTGCTCGGGGTGCGGGGAGGGAATCCTTGCTCACCTGCATAGAACCTCTTCCCGGGCATGTTGGAAAGGGGGCACGCGCCCTGTTGGCTTGTGCAGTACCCAGAGCACGGGCGACCTTGGCAGTGGGGGGAGCCCTGACCTGGAAGGCCCACACCTCAGGCTAGGAGCAGCTAGCGCCAGCGCAGAGATGGCCACTAAACATGGTGCCGCACCTTCCAGGCTGTGGAGCTGTCGCTGGGACAGCGTTTGAAAGGCTAAGAGCGCAGGACGGGAGGGCAGGCCCAAGGCAGGAGGCCCACCAAGCACCAGGAAGGAGCCCTGTGACGCCAGAGTCTGGGCAGTTGGTCCCCCATCCTGCATTCTCAGCTGCCCTCTTCCCTAGAGAAGTGGCCGTGGCTGAATGGGGACTGCCCTGCCCGGGGGGCTTCACTCCCCCAGGGGAGCCCACAGCCAAGGGCTGACTGACACAGGGGTACACACAGCCAGGTCCTGACCCATAGGTGGGCCCCATTCTGCACACTCTGAGGTACCGTCATGCTCCAGGGCTCCCGTGGGATCAGGGGGGAGCTGGGGTCCAGCTGAGGCCACATCCTTGCCAGCTCCTGCCCCTGCCTGTCCGCCTCCCTCACCCCCTTCTCCTGCAAACGCGACTCCACTACACATGATCCTGGGCACCTAATCCCTGCTCCCTCAGGCTCTGCCTCTAGGGAACCTGGCCTGAGACACAGGACCCCTCTGTGAATGTGAGATGGAAGGAAGAAAGAAAGCAAGACTGAAGACAGCCTCATTTCCCAACAGGCCTCCCCATCCAGGGCCCACCCGGCGGGCGTCCTCTGCTTAAGACTCTACCCCGCCCCCCCGCGGGGCTGGCAGTGACTATAGGGCTGCGCCCAAGCCCCTTCCCCTGGCCTTCCAGTTCCCACTCTCCCGTGCCAGCAGGACAGAGGCAGGACCAGTGGCACGACGGGCGAGGACTGACCTGCAGGTGCTGATGCCGCACTCCCCGCTGGGGTAACTGCTGTCCCAGTCCCCGCTGCTCGTGGGGTTGGATGGGCCAGGAGAGCGGGGGCCTGAGCTGCCGGGGAACTCAGAGATGTGGGGGAAGTCCTGCAGAGGAAGGAGGACACGGTCAGCCGAGGAGAGACCAGGGGGTGGGGGTGCGCCGTGTCAGGCAGCCCAGGGGGGTGGGGAGGGGCCCTGTGCTGAGGGCATCCTCGCTCTGCAGAGACACTTCCTCTGGGTCACACGCAATGTCCACTCTGCTCCCAATGCATCTTCCTTTCCCCCAGCACAGCGTGTTTCAAAATATTCAACCCTTGTCTTAGCTGAATCGGGGTGACACAGTTTGCTTTAAGGGCATTGCCCTTTCTGGGCCGCAGTTTCCCAATCTGTAAAATGGAGTCATTGGGCTGAACACCTTCCAAGGGCTGTGGGACCCTTGTAACAGTCTCTGTGCACAGTCAGCAGGGGCCAGGCCTTGAAGGCTTTGGGGAGAGCCAGGGACTAGGGCTAATCTGTCAGAAGCCACGGTGGCCCCAGCCCCTGGGGCCAGGGAGCTGGGATGGACAGGCGTGTGGGAAGGAGGGACTGGAATAGCCTAAGAATCAGCCTGGCAACTTGTCTACTGTTCCTGACAGCCAGTTATGTCTCAGGTAAGGTGTACCAGACCCATGTCATAGCTGAGGCTCAGAGAGGTCAGGTGCCAAGGCTGAGGTCACATTGCTGGTGAGTGGCAGGGCCAGGATCTGAAATCCCAAGCTGCTTCCCCTCTGCACGTGGGGTCGCAGAAGGGCTCATTCCTACTCCACCCCGCTTACCTGTGGCCCTGGAGGTGAGGGGCTCATCGCCAGCTGCACCTGGAGTGCCATGGGGGTGGGCAGGACAGGGGCCTGGGGGGCGGGGGACATGCTGACGGGTGGGCTGAGGAGGGCGCCCTGTGCGTGGGGGGGCAGTGGCAGTTGCTGGTGCAGTGGGGGGCTGAGCGGGAAGGAGGGTGGCGGCGGTGGGGACGCGCTGAGGCCAGGCAGCAGCGACTTGGAGCCCAGCGTCCGGGCGAGGCTGGCAGGAGAGGCCCCGCTGCGGAAGGCCTGCAGGTCCGACGGCGCCAGGAAGGAGGCCAGGCCCGGCATGGTGTACATGGGCTGCTTGGGTGGCAGCATCTTGGCTGGTGGGTTCGCCTGAGTGCTCTTGGTCTCACCTTGGTCCGGGGAGCTCTGGAAGGAGACAGAAACCAGTCGCTGGAGAAGAGGGGTAAGCCAGAACTTGGGCTGCGAGGCCAGGTGGCTCTGCAACCCTCTGCCACGGCCCCCGGCTGGCTCTGCAACCAGAGCTGACGCAGGCTGCCTAGTACGCTTGGCTCTGACCATCCAACCAGCCCCTGCTTTTATCCCTGGGGGGCTGCTCTGCCCACGGGGGAGTCTCCTGTTCCTCAGCCGGGCCGGCGGACCCAGCATCACCCAGACGCGCCGTCCTCCCAGCCCCCGCCTTCGCACGTGCCATTCCCTCGGCCTCGAACACTCTCCTTCCTTGGCCTTTGTGGCCCATCACAGATGCCATCTCCTCTGTGACAGCTTCCAGGACAGCACCCACCTCTCCTTGGGCCACGCATCCACAGCACACCTCGCCTCTTGCGTTGCTGGTGTTGACAGATGAGGCAGAGAGTGTGGTGATGAGATGCGATATTTTGGGGTAGCATGTCCTGAACCCCACCGTGGTCAGGAGTGAAGGCCAAAATTTGAAAACTGGCAAAACTGGGTTGAATCTTAGCATGGCCACTTTAACAAACTGGATAGTTTCAGGCAAGCCGCTTAACCCCTCTGGGGCTGGGGTCTTGGAAGAAGTCAATGAAGTGAGATGCATGTAAAGTGCCCAGAGTGAGCGTGGCGCACCGTACATGCACTGCAGACATGACCACGTCGGTCTCACCCATCCTTTCCAAGACCCGTGGTGCTGACCACTCCCGTGGGCCCGTCCTCACTCCCTCCCTCTGGTGCCCGCCCAATCAGGGCTGTACCCGGGGACTCCAGGTGTTACCTTGGAGACGAGGCTAGCCCTGTAGGCGGCCAGAGCCTTCAGATATTCCTTTTTCGCTGCTTCGGTCTTCCTCTTATAGGCCTGAAAGATCCAACACACGGGCAATGGGGAGAATGTTACAGAGGAGACACAGGGCAGGAGCCTGGGATGGGAAGGTGTGGATTCAAGGGCCATGCATGGATGGGGGTGTTGGCATCAGAAACTGGGTCAGTCACCCACCAGCCCCCTTTGGGAGAACCGTACAGGGATTATGGAGACCAGGGTATATCCCAGTTCCTCAGCCAAGTTGCTCTGTGCCCTTGGGCAACATGCTTCACCTCTCTGGGCCTCCAGGTCACACCAGCACACTGACTATAAAAAGACAAGGCCCCTTGAAGCCCCCTATTTTGATCCAGCACAGTGCAGATGTCTTAATGTTGCACCATCTTTGCATCCTAGAATGAACCCTGCTCATTCATAGCATGTGAATCTGGATTCAATTTGCTAAAATTTTTATTAGGCATTTTAGACCTAGGTTCATATGTTATTGTAGGAGAGGCCAGTGTGTTCACACCTCCTTGTGTCCATACCTTTTGGTAGAACCCTCCCACAATGACATGGGGCTTGGCCTTAAGATTTGCTTTGGCCAATAGGATGAGAGCAAATTTGATGCAAGCAGAGACTGGAAAAGTGCTTACACATTGGGGCTTGTCCTCCTGCTGTTGCTGGAACTCTGAGTTGCTATGTGAACAAGCCTGAGCTAGATGCTGGGTGATGAGAGACACATGGCCCAGTTTGGCCCCACTACTCTTCATTTTTTATAAAATTTTCATTTCAACTCTGGTGGGATACGAACCCACAGCGTTTGAGTTCCCACTGCTCTTAACTGATAGCCATCCAACTCCCAGAAGCAGAGCTGCTTAATTTACTGGCAGCTGACTACAACCACATGGGTGAGCCCAGCTAAATGTAGCAGAAGAACCATTCAGCTGAGCCCAGCACAACTCATGGGCCCTCAGAATTGTGAGTTGAATACATGGCTGTTGTTTGAAGCCATTAAGTTTTGGAATTGTTTGTTACACATTCAAAACTAACTGATACAGTTAGCTTCATTATGTCTTAGTATCAAGATTACATTGTGTATAAAGACTTGTGAAGGTTTTCATTTTTCTAAGCTCTAGAATTGTCTGTGCTTTGATGCTTTGAAAGAGCTTTCCTAGTAATCAGCCAGGCTTGGAACTTTCGGGGAGAAGTGGGGTTTTTTTCTTGTTTGTTTGTTTCCTATAATTTTCTCAATAACACTTCCCTTGGTTATTAGTATATTAATTATTAGTAAAATAGGACTATACACAAAATTTATTAATGTAATTTAAAAAAACAGATACAAGCTATCAGCCAGCCTTATTTAATAGTGAGACATGAGAAGTAATCCAAAGAAAGTAAGAAGACCATTATCCCCACCATTATTGAACATATTTTTTTAGAATCCTAGTCAGAGTAGCTGGGAAAAGAAAACAAAATTAGAAATATAAATATGAGAAATGAGACAAAAATAAAGAGACAAAAATCATCATCATTTGTAAAATATATATATACACATGTATATATTTATAGACATATATATATATATGTATATAGGGAGATGTGTGTGTGTGTGTGTGTGTGTGTGTGTGTGTATTAACCTGGAAGACCCAGGAATTAATTTAAAATGATCAGAAATAGAATAGTTTAGCCAGGTGGGTAGGTCCAAAATAAATTCTTAACTTTTTTATACATCAACAACAATCTGCCAGAAAAAATGTGAATAAAAACCATGCCATTTATAATGTACTGAGTAAAAGGGGAGATATAGCAATTATTGAATGGGAATAAATATGTAACAAGTTCTTGGATTGAAAAAAAATACACCAGAAAGGTCAAGAAAAATGAATCAAAAACTCAGAAACAGGACCAAGGCAGGAGGTAAGGACCCTCAACCACCTTCGCTGGCCCCTGGGCTGCGTTGAATGGGGTCAGAGGCAGTCTCTGCTAGAAGGAGTGTCAGTGTCCAGGGACAGAGCACCCGAGACCACTGTCCCCTCAGACTGTGCACAAAGGGGAGAAGAAATTCCTCTTGCCACCAAAGAAACTGAGGTCTTCTTAGGAAGGGGAATGGATGCCAACAAACCAGTGAAAATGACAAACGTCCCTGCGGCAGAGGCTGGCAGTGCCCTGTCCCTTAACCCCTAGGCCCTTACCGCTGTACTACGCACGAGCTCAGCTTCCAACCACCAACAGCAGTGTCTCCGTGTTCTTTTGCCTGAGGGTTCGTGCTGGTAGCAGCAGCCCGGTCTGCCATGTGCGCAGCAGGCCAGGAGTGCTGGAGAATTCACGTCCCCTGGAGCAGCTCTCAACCAGTGAATGACAAAAGCTGGCGTCCACCCCAGCACCCTTGCACCCAGATGGGGTCACTCTAAGGTATGGCGGTTCTGCGCTGGCCCCCGAGTTCCCCAGTGGGGTCACATTCCTGTCTCCAGCAGTGGTAGCTTCTTTGACAATCTGATTTCCTTTCCCTGTCTCACTTCCCCACTCTCCTATCAGCAGATTTTGGGGTGATCTCACAAATAAACCGTTTACACTATAATACCTTCTAAAATTATTAAAAATTTTAGAATGTGAAAAAGGAGGCTTTTAAGATAAGACAATAATCTCTCTTCCTGGCCTCAAGCCTACTGCTCTTCCTGTGTCTCCCATCTCAGTAAAAGGCATCTCCATTTACCCAGAACACAGCCCCGATCCAAGGAGGTGACTTCCATGACACACTCTGGGTCCCCTACCCCAAACACTTGGTCCAGGCCACTGTCCTCTCCCATGTGCATGACTGCAGGACCGGCCACATCCACTCACATCTGCCTTATGCAGCCACACCAGCCCCCTCCTGTGCATAAAATTCTTCCGTCGGTTCCTCTGCTCTTAGCATGAGGACGGACTCCTTCCAAGGCCTGCAAGGGCCCTGCCTTCCTCTTCAGCTCTGTCTCTGCCATGGTGACACTGTCTCCTCTCTGGCCATCCTGGTCTCTACTCATTCATACGTACTTGTCCTTTCCTTGCCAGGCCTCCCTCCGTGGGGTGCTTCGCCTCCCTATGGGAGCTCACCTTCAGGTCTCACCTGGAGACCTGACCCCACAGGACTATGTCTGTTCCCTCTCTTTTCACTCTCATGTGCCATGTACCCTCTTGGCACATGACACAATCACAACTGGAATTTTACATTTACTTATCTGCTATTTATTTATTATCTCTTACACTCATAGCCTCACTGAGCTTCCTAGTTCTACAGGTCTGAATGCAAATCCTGACTGTCCCCTGATTCCCTATGGTGACCCTGGGCAAGTCACTTAACCTCTTGGTGTCTTGTATGGATTCAGTGACATAGTGGAAGGGGATCTCAGGCTAGACATGAGTTCAGAGAATGGCAGCCAGCACCCCTGTTTTACAGATAGGAAAACACAGGCTCAGAGAGGTTAGGTGGTCAGCCTGAAGTCACACAGCACACGACTGGTCATTGTATTTGCCTATGAGCTAATTGTGCTCTCTATTCCCCCTGGAGGCCTTCAGAGGAGGCCACAGGCACATGGTAAGTAGGGTAGGAAGCTCCGGCCTGGACTCCAGACTTTCAGGGCTGGAGGACAAGATGGATGAGGTTCCTATTCTCATATCATAGATGGAGAAGCAGGGAGCCAGGATGGTTAAGGCACTAGTGAGCGTAGCTGGTCATAGTAGAACTAGAAGGAACCTAGTTTATAGTTTACAGATGGGCTTCCCAGTTTACAGATGGGCAAACTGAGCCCAGGAAGGACTCTGCGAGAGTCTCTCATCCCAGAGGTGGGGCTTGGTTTCAGCCCTCCAAAGTCTAGGACCACAAAGAGGATAGCCCAGAAAGGGATGGGGGCTCACCTGCTTCTGCTCCTCTCCCAAGCTGTCCCACATGGAGGCCACGATCTTGGACACATCCCCGAAGGTGGCGCTGGGGTTCTGTCCCTTGATGGCGGCCTGAGTGTCTCTGAAGAAGAGTGCGTAGGCTGACACAGGCTTCTGTGGCTCGTTCGGGTCCTTCTTTTTCTTCTTTTTGGGGTTCTTGGCTTTTTTTCCTGGGTCAGCTGAGGGTCTTTTTTCTCCCGAGATCTGCCCGGAGGAGAGGAAATCAGAAAACCAAAGAAGCCTAAAGGCCACCTGCCAAAGGTGATCCACGCAGCCCTCGGCCGGGCCAGACTTTCCTCGACAGCCGCGTGTGCCTGTCCAGCCCTGCTGACACACAGGCAATGACAGGCGCTGCCACCACGGGGCTCAAACGCTGCCAGGCTGACCCCTCGCTAGGTGGGGGAGGCAACAGACAGACAGCCCCTCACCCCCTACCCCGGATAAAATCCTTGGGTGTTTCTTTAACTCATGAAAGAGAATCAGCAGGACTGTAAAGTTGATTCAAAGAAATGCAGGAGGAAGAGAAGTCTTTATAGTCACTGAAAGAATGTTGGAATTAGATTATTAAATTATACGTAAAATTGGTTAATGTCCTGTAGAGCCATAAAACTATCACCTTTGGGACTTTTAATCTTCTCTGCTGGACAGAAATCACTTGCATCTCTACAGGGCAAAATTAATTTGCCTTGTAATCAGACAAAAATCATTTATATCTCTATCACTTTTTTCCTCCCCAAGGTAACATCTACTTTTACAGAATTGTAAACTCCCCTAATCAATAATGAATATTGAGTCAAAGCAAGGCCTATCCACCTAGAGAATCAGATAATTCGTGAGTGAGCCGAATTATGTGAGTGAGACGATGCTTTGCCATGACACTGAAAGCATGTGCCATCATCTGGGGGGCTGTGTCCAAGTTTGGGATACATAACTCTTTCTTAACTGCTCTTCCTCTCGTGATCACAAATAATCCCCAAAGATTATCCTGGATTACAAAAAGCTGGTCTCCTCCACCACGTCTCTGTGTTGCAACTTTGGACAGGTGGCTTAGTCCCCTGGATGCCTGTGAGGTGGCTGGAAGGGATGAGGCTAACGCGACGGTCAGTGGGTCAACCCTGGAGCCAGTGGCCGCACCCTGGAAAGACTCTAGGACCACAATCCTGTGAGCACCTGATTTCGGGCTTCCAGGATGGGGAGGGGGTTGGGATGCCCACTACAGACCTCAGTGGGTCTCTGTTAGGACGCGGAGGCCGCACAGGGACAGAGAACTTTGATCAAAAGCTCTGGATCCTGCAGCGAAGGCTGTGGCTCTGTGTGCCAAGAGGATGAAGGTGACACCATGAACTGATAGGGGAACAGTGGCCAGTGGACACCACTCAGGCCTCCACGTCTGAGGGGCAGGGAGGGACAGGGTCTGCAGCAACACTGGTTCTGTTCCTGACGCTTTATCTGCAGCCACCTCCCTCTCCAAGCCTCAGTTCTGTCAGCACCGTGGTGAGACACGAGCAAGAGAAAGGGACAAAGATGCATCTTGTACTGATGAAGACTGAACAGACTTCACAGTGCAGGGGCTTAAGGACAAATATGACAGCTGCACTTGTAGCTGCCTGGGTTTGAGTTCTGGTTCTGCCGCCTACTGGCTGTGTGACACTGGATAAGTTACTTAACCGGTCTGTGCCTCAGTTTCCCCACCTGCCCGGTGGAGATAAGAATGGTACCTGCCACACAGGATTGTTATGGGGATTACATGGGCAAATACTTATGTGCTTAGAACAGTGTCTGGCCCACAGGGAGTGTTTTAGAAGTGTTTGTTGAATAAAAAGTAAAATAAAAGCCATCCCTGCCTGGCCTACGATAAAAGCTGAGTTATCCTGAGGACGAAGCTGAACCAGGATTCGGAGTTAAGCACCCTTTCCCCAGTCCAACAGGGCAGGGTCTCATGGCACTGGCACCATGGTTACTGCCCGGGCGTCTGCAGGGCCACCACGTGGAAAAGGGTGAGAGGCCCTTACGAAGAAGAAAGGGCTCCAGGATGATGGAGACAGGAGTCCCAGGGTCAAGTCTTGATTCTGCCACCAGCTCGCTGGAGATTCTGGCAAACACTCCCACCTCCAGCCTCTCGGGGTCTCTGATCTCCTCCCCAGTAAAACAAGGTGCTCCCCATCAGGGAGGCAGGCTTGGAGTCAGTGCAAAGAAAGGACCAGAGCCTTGACAGGTGGTGGCCCCCATCCCTGATGCGTTCTTGAAGAAGCTGGACCACTCTGGACTCCTGGGATGTTGGGGGGAGGCAGGTCTCCAATGGGGGGCATTTTTAGCACCCCCCAGGTCAGTGTTGAATACCCTGGGCCCAGAGGGGCCCTCTGCTGGACCACATGTTTTTTGTCACAATATTTTAAAAGGCCAAGATGGCCATGAGATGTGACCCTGATGGCCTCGCTGAAGCCATCCATACTGTAGAAATGACCCGCTGGCCATGCAGGAATAAGACTTGGCCACGTTTTCACGGCATGTTCTCACCCCACCCCCTCAACATTTGTTGGAGTTGCCGCTGCTTTATGCACAAGGCCTTGGGGACACAGAGGGGACCGAGCTGGTCAAGGACACTCGACAAATATAGCAGGCAGAGCACGATACCCCAGGCCCCATGGGTGCCATCCTCATGGGCCAAGTGCTTCACCTGCTGACTTTCCTTTTCCTTGGTTTCCAGCAAAGGGTCCAGCGGCTGCAGCTCCCCCTCGGGTCCCTGACAAGTGGATCTCAAGGTCAAGCTCCATGCAGCTTTGACCCCTGCACGATTCAGTGCGCTTAGGGCAACTCAGCTCCTACAGCTCCTTGACAGTTTGCATTGTGTTGACAGTCACCCTGGACAGAAAGTTAGCGATTTATTAAAAGGATTTGTTCTGTAAAATGTGGACTCAGTCAAAAGGTTGCACTCAAGGATCTAGAAGGCCACATGTGGCCCCAAGGCCACAGGTTCCTCAGCCCTGGTCCAGCCACTTTTCTAGTCTCTACTAGAGGGAGTTGACGCCCGTGTCCCATAGGACCCATCCCTGCCGATGGGAGGGCACCTCATGGCTTGGCGCCTCTGCCCCCTGCCCCACGCACCTTGAAATGGGCTTCCGACTCCTCCTCCTGAGTTGAACTGGAGGGAGAGGGCGTCGCTGACTTGCTCCCCGGGGGAGACGGGGAGCTGTGGGCGATGCTGCTCCTGATGCCCATCTGCGAGATGAGCTGGGACTGGCTGAGGGCGCTCATGTGGCTGGCCAGCATCGCCGGGCGGCCCAGCAGCGGCCCCGGCCGGCCCGAGTCGTAGGCAGCCACCTCCGAGTGGACCATCTCCTGGATCTAAGAGAGGAGGACAGGGCGTGTTGAGTCAGAAAGGATCCGCCCTGCCATGCCATCGCATCTGTGTTGCGGGACGCAGGGGAGAGGCAGCCAGATGAGAAGTGGTGGGTGGGGGGTGGGCTGGCTCCATGCTGAGCCGCAGCTCCCCCTCGGAGCCCTGGCAGGTGAATCTCAAGGTCGAGTTCCATGTGACTGATCTCTGCGTGATTCGGTGCACTTAGGGGAGGTCCTAGAGCTCCTTGACAGTTTGCCATTGTGTTGACGCTCACCCTGGACAGAAGGTTAGCACTTCAGCCCTTGCCGGAGAGCTCAGTCTGGCTGTGAATGGAGCATTTTATGACAGCGAGTCTGCCCTCCTGGAACGTGGTACCTCTCTGCTCTGATTCACTAGGCAGCACAGTCACAAACAGCACAGATGCCGGAAGCTGCCTACGTTTTGAATCCTGGCCACTTACCACCTGTGTCACTTTGGCCAAGTTACTGAACTTCTCCGTGCCTCAGTTTCTTCATCTGTAAAATGTGGATATAATCAAACCTACCTTCTGGGGTTGTTAAGGATCAAATATACCCAGCAAATAGTAAGCCTTATATTGTATAAGGGTTTGTTAAATACATTGAATAAATACCTTGATAAAAGTTTAATACTTTTCTTCCTATAGTTCAGTAACTTTCTTATTAACTCTATTCCCTGTGATATTTTCTAACTGGTTATTTTTGTAATATAAGAAAGCCACTGATTTTTACATGTAAGCAGTTCTCATACTAAACATATATTTAGAATAGTGTATACTTTTTGACCTAAATATAATATATACACACACCCCATTCAGCAAAGCATATCAATTTGCACACTCTTATAATTATTTTTATTTCCTCTGCATCTGTGGTTACTTTCCCCTTCTAATTTCTAACGTCAAATATCTGCATTTTCCTCTCACTTTTTCTTCATTAGGCAAGCTAATGGGTTTCCAATTCTATGTGGGTTCTTTTCTCCTGAAAAGAATCAAATCTCAAATTTATCACTTCTGCTTCTCTGTTTTCTAATTCTTTAACAGTGCATTTTATGTTTAGTAATCCTTTCCTCTGCACTTTAAAGATTTATAATTGTTGCTCTCCCCTCAATTTTGAGTTGTATTTTAATGCTTTAATGGACAAATGACAAATTGTATGTATTTATGGTATACAACGTGATGGGTTGATGTGTGTATACACTGTGAAATGATTAGATCAAGCTAATTAATATATCCATCATTTCACATTTCACTTTTGGAAGGAGAATATTTAAAATCTACTCTTTTAGCAATTTTCACATGTACTATATATTATTATTAATTATAGTTACCAGGCTGTACGACAGATCTCCAGAATTTATTCCTCCTGTCTAAGGGAAACTTTGTATCCTTTGACCAACACCTCCCTATTCTCCACCCTCCCCAAATCCTCCAGCCCCTGGTAACCACCATCCTACCCTGCTTCTAGGAGTTTGAATTTATAAGATTCTACACATATAAGTGAGATCATGCAGTATTTGTCTATCTGTACCTGGCTTATTGAGTTGCATTTTTAATTCATTGATTTCTTCATCATATAAGAGATATCTGTGATTGTTCTTTTTTTTTTTTAAAGAGACAAGATCTTGCTATGTTGCCCAGGCTGAAGTGCAGTGGCTATTCACAGGCACGATCAGACCCCACTACAGCCTCGAACTCCTGGGCTCAAGTGATCCTCTCTCCTGAGCCTCAGTGGGACTGCTGGAACATGCTGCTGCACCTGGCTGCTACTGTTCTTTCTTATGGACTTATTTTTTCATTTCAGTCTTAATTTCCTCTTTGATCCAAGAGTTGTCTGAGTCCTGAAATTTCTAAGTGGTTAATTTTCTTTGTTTTTTTTTTCCCTTTGGCTACTAATTTCTAGTAACAAAAGTAATCAAAGAATGTAGTCTGCACTATTAGCAATTCTGAGATTTTGTTAAGGTTTCCTTTGAGACTCAAATATGATAAACTTTGGCT